TATTAGTTATATATTCGACTTGAGACTTCCAGCGGAACAGTTAGACTTTGGCCCAGGATTAGCTAATCTAGTCAGGTAAAGCCCTGTAACCATATGGAGGAACAAGATTTTACCGAAGTGGCTGTGCTCAATAAGCGTTGGAGAGTAGCTAGCACATTTTCAATCGAATAAAGCTTACATTGAGATTTCAACTAGAGTGAAGGCTGTATTTGCAACGTTTCAAAACCACATGCCCACAAGTGAGGAATCGGATCAGAGCAGGGAACACGACTCCAATTGCTTTCAGGAAAGGTGGCACTTATTCCAAACAACACAAGGCTATACTCTCAGCAGACTAAATACATGCGTCGTTCACCAGGATACCAGGGACTCTGCTCCTGCGTGAATCAAACACCAGCTTTAACAACCAGCTTACTCGTTTATTTCGTGCAAAGCACTACAAAAATATTTTGTAATTATGCCGCAAATTACTCTGTCTTCTTTTGACTGATTAAGGAGTTATTAATCGTTTATGTCATTTAAAATACACAAATGATGTTTTCCAAACAGCCTGGGCTAATGTGAGTGAGAAAACTGGGGTCCACATCTTTTAGCTGTGATAATATGGCTTGAAAAAACACTTTCATCGTTATCAATGCCGACAACATGCTTTACTGCGATGATTTTTTGCGGATTATTATGGGGAAAAGGATTAGGAACGGATAGGGAAGGGACTTTGTGCACATCCAAGCAAGCTGGACAAGTGCTGACGAAAATATCATCATCTATATCGGTTGGCGGCCATATTTTGCAACATCCCCTATCCGGGCGCAGTTGGTTCCCATCTTGGAAGTTGACCTCTTCGGCAACACCCAGCATTTTCTGAAATGATAACAATATTGTATATTACGATCGTCACAGTACTGTTCATAGACAGATTAGGTTTTAGCTCACGCCTAGTAAAATCACTTAAGTTCCGTCCATGAATAAACACTACCTACCTTTAAAATAATAAGTCGTCATTTATTGTTTGTTGTAAATCGTCCAATAAACTCTACCAGAGAAACGAGGTAACTAAGTGTGAGAGAGATCCAATAGCCAAATATATCATAGCAGGCTGGATTGACTTCCAGGTAATCAACGCTTGAAATTTGCGTGCAAAACCATCGACTAGATATCCTACACACTGCGGACTTTCGGGCTAGGGTTTATCAATTCCCCTTTGGGTAGTCTACCACGTGAATTTAGCAGATTCTAGCCTGCGTTTTCAAACTGCGCAGGTGGTTACATTGTGCAGGAGATATCCATTCTCCGCTCGGGGAATGTAGCGGCCCGTAAACAATCAGATTAAAACTAGCTGTCAATCCTAATGTGAACAGTATAAATTTGTCATGCTTGAACGATACTTATAATCTGCCAGTCAATTTACCAAAAGATGTTGTTTCTTCAACTGCATCACTTTTCTGCGTTATCAAAGAAAACCGAAAGATGAATGCATCTGATTTTCAATACAGTGGTCTTGATTGATGATACTAATGGCTTCTGCTAAGTCCTCAGCGTAAACATGTGTCTAAGTTTGGATTGTCATCGCTTAGAGATATGGTGCCAAAATTGAACCGACAGCCTGAGTTGCTCAGTGTAGACATGAACGCCATGGATGATTTGGTCTGCGCAGATCGTTGGGTGCTCATGAAAGGTCCGTTGTGTCTACTGTAAGGCTTAAAATATACAACATCCGGAATTGAAAAGAAGAAATAACTCGTGATAGTTCGTGGGAGTCGTCCAGTCAGGAGCGCTAATCCACACGAATAAAGTGTGCCAACTCATCGGATTTTTTTGGATTGCTTCAAAAATGTATTCAAAGGTTAAACAAACATTTTAAACGCATTTCCTTCTGCCTCCGGGCAATAGCGAAGCCGTGGGACATTCACAGCGTATATTTATAACCAACCCTGCAATGTGTACCAGGTGAAGCCAACATCAAAGTTCAATTATCTTCTTGGCAGAGGGCATCCTCGTTTGGCGGAAAATCGGACTGTTTCATTTCATATACCAGCTGTGTATTGGTCAGCATTTCCAATATAAAAACAAATTCTCCAGCAAATTTGGCAGTCGGGTTTACAGTAAAGTCACTGACATTGATATTTTGAATAACCGGTTAGTTATTCAACCATCATTTCCTAGAATGCACCCTGTTTGAGTAGCGCAGTTATCGTTAGTGTTGAAACCCCCAAAGCAGTATGTTACTTGATATGAGACACGTTTAAAAGTTTCTAACTCTGAGGCAAGATGCAAAGCTGGGAAAGTATTTTTCTTCCGCTCTTCTGGCAACATATTCGGTTTTTCACAAAATTGTTTAACATTTACCAGTACAACTGTAGTTTTCGCCGTTATAAATTTCGCTGGTCTCAATTTACGTGCCATACAATATGACGAGTTAGTTTGAGAATAATATCGTCTTGGTGGTGGGTTTTTATAGGTCATCATTTCGACAGCACGATCAGCGCTGAACTCTAAGTAACCATAATCAGCTGAGCACAGGGAAACTGGATGGCTGTGATGAACGCCTAGCTGACTTGATGGATGTTGGCATGTGTTGCGGAACGGCTTTCTGATACTATGTGCAATGTGATGTTCGTTTGCCTACCGTCCAAAATTTTTAATGGTGATTGTAACATTTAATTACTGGTCATCTAACTGACGCGAACAAGGCAAGTTGAGACTGAACTGAACTGAACTCCATCTTGGTTTGACTAGTTGGAATTGGCATCCTCTCGATATGACAGTGCGACTGTAGTCACGCTCTATCCCCTTAGAATTTGTTCATGGGTGTTTAATATCCGGAGAACTGATCATCGTTTCACACACCGAGAGTTGCTGTCATGTAGTGAAATCGAGAATCCAAGGTTCAAATGTGAGAAAATAATCTACAGTTTCTCAGCGGTGGGATTTGTTTAATAGACCTTCATTATCAATTCCTCATATAATTTGCGAAAAGCTGATCTGGCCAGGAACCAGCTTAAGAAAAGATATGATACTTACGTGGTGATTAGCCAAGCCGCCAGCACATTTAATGTCGTCGCCCTAAAGCAAAAGCCTACCGGAAAATTCAAGAAAGACCGGACGTTTATAAGGACTATTCGCGTGACCTTCCAAGGGCGCCATTGGGTGCAAAAGTATATGCGCTTGCTTCTTTCGTGGTGTATGAACTTCTAGATGGTTTTTTAGTGTACTACACAGTTCACAGCGTGATCGACCAACCGATGTGCATTGAATTTTATTGGTTGTGCGACGAGTTTGTTACCCTCACCCCAGGTATTTGAAATTGCGCATATTTTATCCGGCTTTCACTACAGATAGCGATAGCACGCTACTTAAAAGACAGTTGCTTGTTTTGCACATCCTTTTTCCTCACTGTGTAACAAGGTGACAAATTGGAGCGCTGTCCAATAAATCCTTTTCTCGACCCATAAACTTACAATACAAGTTAGTGAAGTAAGCCTGAAAAACAATGGTCGGCTTCGGAGTATTATTGTCCACTCTTTGACTACGTTGAATCAGCAACTAGCGGATGTCATGTATACTTGTGGCTATTTCGAGGACATAATTGGGTTGGTAAGCTGACGTACAATGCCACAAATCTGTGGTATCATTCACACAGTTTGGACAACGTTTCGTTGAAAAAAACTGTGACAAGCTAATTGGAGAACATTCATGGAATGAACAAATTGCACACGATATTTCATGGGCACTGAGACTGTCTGATAAAGCTTACCATTTGATTAAATTTGGAGAAGATTGTATTTTGACCTAAAAAAAACTAATGTGCACACCCGTGACCGTATAATTACTCCCGAAATGAAGGCAAATTCGGCCAAAATACCTGCATGACTTTCGAGGAATGTGGTATTTTGGTGCATGCCAAATAGCACAAACTGCGCGCTGGCTAATTGAAAAAATCAAACCCCGTATTTTAAGGATGTCTCTTTAGAATTCGGTTTCCAGTATTTGACACAAAGTTTTACAGGTCGTGTCTGGCTGTGTCTGTCTGGATTTGAAATCCCGACAACCTTGCTTCTAATACTTCGGCAGTATACATTTGTTGCATTTCATTTCTGAGGTCCAAACACTGCTCCAAACTAAACCATTTCTTCTATTTGAACGTAAAAATTCACGCCTTTGGTAGGGGAAAGGTAGTAATATAGTTGTTTGTATCATATTTCATCCTCCAAGCCAAAAAAGCCACAATGTAAGCGGAACCGATTCCACTGGTTTGGATTAGGCAGAACAACAACAATAATGTGGTAGGACCGTTCTGACAAAAGCCGCGTGGACATAATCTCTAAAAAAAACTTACTTACTTATCCTCAGAACGCTTGTAACTCCGAGACTTTTGAAAACCCCGATAGCGATTCACATATTTTCGGGAGCTCTACATGAATGTTTCTGAAAACATGAGTGCATGTGATGTGAATCAGGAAATGTTGAAATTCAAAACATCTCTTATCCACGGTTTTCTTTACTAGGTTGCGAATAACTGGTTTTTGACCAGCTGGCTGCTGATCCGTTCACCCAGCTTGACAAATACTTGCAGACATTCCGTCACCATACGAGGAGACACCGTGAGTGCGCATTTGGATGGGTACATTCTTTTGGCCTGGGCGGTGGATACTACTGACGAGACATGCGAGTAGTATGTGGTTCGCTCATAAGTCCGCTTCGCGTCTATTGAAAAGTGAGATTTATTACGGACTTCGTGGAATCGTTTTGCAGCATTTGTTCACATTTGAGTGGTAGTCAATATGCATCCAGGAAAGTTCAAGAAGACCTGTTCGTGAAGAAAACGGAAACACAGTTTTTACAAACAAGATGCATATGAGAGCTTGGCTTCCCTGTCCATTAGTCTGAAACTGTCCAGTTGGTGTTTATCAGTAGATAACCGACAGCAAGCGTCTTCTTCCTTTCATTTGGTTCAGTGACCATAATGAGAGGGACGTGGTGGCAAATTATTGCTGTAACCACTAGGTGATTCGGGTCTCGTAGAAGTCGATCAACAACACGATGCCGTAGCCAAGCGGAATACAAACATTTCGCCAAATGAAGAGTATGCTCGGTCGGTGGCAGCAACGTTGACCCTTCGGGCGGTTGGTGGCCAATTCTGGCATCATATCGACCAAAGCGATATAGACGAACATTCCGGCAGTCAGTATGACGATCGAGGCGATTCGGTCCAGAAGTAGTTCAATCACAGTTTCAGCTGCACAGAGAATGCTTGCTAGCGGGATATAGAATACGGCCGCCTTGCCGCACATACTCGCATGTAAGAGGATGGCAAAATCACCCAACTCGTGCGGCGGCTCATGACAAAGAACGGCTTTCGCAGTTGATAGACCTCCTTCATCTAACATGACCCTTCAGGCGGTTGGTGGCCAATTCTGGCATCATATCGACCAAAGCGATATAGACGAACATTCCGGCAGTCAGCATGACGATCGAGGCGATTCGGTCCAGAAGTAGTTCAATCACAGTTTCGGCTGCACAGAGAATGCTTGCTAGCGGGATATAGAATACGGCCGCCTTGCCGCACATACTCGCATGTAAGAGGATGGCAAAATCACCCAACTCGTGCGGCGGCTCATGACAAAGAACGGCTTTCGCAGTTGATAGACCTCCTTCATCTAACACAACAGAGGAAAATCAGGAAGCAGCAAAATTAATTTTTGTTAACCATGGGCGCAAAAGTAAAGGTAGTGTATGCCGAAAAACTCATCTGCATTTAATCATGTGAGCTGGGTCATCACATACCAATTGCGCAATCTTCTCATTAAAAGAAGGAGGCTTGTGTTGGACGTTGTGGATAGGATATTCGGAAAAATTTGTTGCTTCCTTCGGTTAATTAGAAAATATACCTACTTCTCATATGCAGTGGAAATGACCAGCCGAAGGTAGTCAGTGCGGAGCGCCGGTCATCGAATGGGTGCGCCAGGTAAAAGAATGAACCTTGTTTACGGGTTATTCTTTTGTCTTAGTGTTGCCACCTATGTCGCGCTTAAAGTCCTTTCTATAGAACTCTCTTGCAAGTGGCGACCTATGATGGGCCGTTAAGACTGTGTAAAGAAGGGAAATTAATCTCAACAGGATGGTCTACAATCTCAACTTGTCAAATTTTCACTGTCCGTTGTTTTTCTGATGATGCCTAGCTTCCAAATAAATGATAACGATACACGCCTGAATTTTTACCGATTAATTCAGGATACGGCATGAACTTCGAGATGTACGATACCGACTCAAAGCACACCCGAGTTTCCAGCTTTAAAGTACTCTCCACTTGGTCGTTAGTGGTTGGTGGCACAACCACTAACCCACCGCTACGCACCACTACGCTCCCCGATAACGCACTGATGATGTCTCCTCGATTGGTGATGAAACGTTTGCAATCAAATTGCCCAGCTTAGCGAGCAAGCCAACGACCATCTACGCTACCTGAGCTACCGACATGTTCCTCTATAGTACCCTCCAGTTATTGTTCTTGGACCGTAGTCCATTGAGCAGGATTTTTCATCGGCTTGTGGACATACCTTGCTAAGATAATTATCTCAGATAGTTTGTTCTTATGGTTAACAGGATGGAGATTTCCGACCAGAATTGTCCTGGAGGTCAACAACACCTGAGTTGCAGCAAAACCCTCTGGATATTAACTAGTTGGGTTGGTAAATTTTGAAGAACTTGGAGTAGCTGCACCAGTTCGCTTATTCGGCACTAAAGTCAGCCTGTCGCCGTCACTAGATTAGTCAGGACAGAAGGCACATGCAAAACGTTGGTTGCGGAAATCGATACAGTTGGCACGTACGTTTTGCGCTTGCTTACAAGAAGTATCCTTATTCAGCTTACTAGATAATAAACTCTTGACAAAAAGCCTACCTAATTTTGCGGGTTTACCTTTGCCTAAAGAGACTGCTGATCTGCGTTCTCTGTGGCAACTGCCTGCAAATAAAATAGTGCCAATCACTGTTAGAATGAACCCTCGATTTTCGTCTCCGCAAAGCAAATGAACGAGTAGCTAAACAAGGTGACTAATCATTGCAACATGGACGCATCGGAGATAGCTAGGAGTATAGAGGAGGTGAGCATCAGACCTAGTAAACGGAACCGCATTTTCATTTAAGAAACTCTGCACTAGTTTGTACAGGATTTTGAGGGACCAGACTGTGTGATGGGAAAAAAACAAGTATTGTTCTCTCAACTTATCTCTTCCTCATTAACAAGGAGTCTGCAAGCTATCTGATTACGGCTTTAAGTCTGAGAAGGCGTAATAAAGACAACGGAGGCTACTCAAAAGATTCAGTCATTTTGTTAAACGACTGACGATTTGTACCTACGTGAAAATCGGTATGCCGTCTTTTATCAGTTATAGGCTGACGGACAATGCAATCCACTGTCGTTTAGGCTAGGATCAAATTAGC